TTTCTTCTTTATATAGTAGATTTGGGAATTGCTGACATTGCTACTACTGAAAAGCAATATTTAAAAACAGTATCATGCATGTATTTTATACTTATATTTTATAGAACCTAAAACTACTTTATAGGGTGGTTTCTGTAGTTTACTATCAGAAGATAATTCTCATGAATCAACTAAAAGCTGGGAAATTTCCCACATGGAAATGATGCACAATTTAAGAGCATGAAAAAGGAAGTTTTGTGTATTGTCACACTACCTTCATTGCAAGTACATTGCAGAAAAGCAAAAAGTTTGAAACACTAAGCAAATAATAAAAGTTAAATTTTTTATATCAAACTTGAAAAATTAAGCACTAACTTTTAAAATATCAAATAAATCACATTTATTTTCAGCTTACAAAATTAAAAATAAATATTTACACTTTCAACTATACGTGGAGAATGCTAGCATAAAAATTTCAATTTGATAAATAACTAACATTATACAATAGGAAGATCGAAGAATTAAATATTTAAAAAATTACTATGTCTTAAGCTTTTGTATATTATCATTATAGATTATAAAAGATATTACAAAATTCCTTGGAATATTTTTAGTAAACCTTAACTTTCAACAAGAAAGAATTATAAAAATACGTGTTCTCACGGATTTTCGACCATTCGTTGACAGACTTTTGCCATTGTTCCCAAAGTTTCGGACGTGTTTTCGACAGGTAGATCTTTATTGTCACTGACAAACTGTGATGTAGTATCACTGAGAACCTTCAGCATTGGTGTAGCATGAGCATAAAACAGTGACATTCGGTTGGCCAGTTCATTCGGAACTTCCAAATCCTCATTTTCAATATTATCCTGTGGAAAATCCAACCAACTCAAGTTTCATCTAAAAGTAACCAGAAAAATATGTAGGCATAGCCTATTTATGACTTCAGTACTTTAGACAAAACTGTCAAAAATTTTAGCAACTTTGAGAGGAATCTAAAAGAACATAGGTGCCCATGCTTAAGAAACCTATCATTGAAATTATTATTAAATTTGGTTATATTCATACAGACCAACCATTTCCCACTCATTTATCATGCACAAAGATTTATTTTTAAGAAGGTGTCCTTTTTGTTTTGATACCAAACAATATCCAACTACAGAGTTCCGATACCAAACATATATCCAACTACAGAGTTTTCATATCAAACAAAACTACAGAGTTCTGACAACAACCAATATCCAAAGTGGTATTTAAGCAATACAATTTTTAGAAGACCCAACAAGTTTGGAGACTACAGATGTTTAATAATAAAAAGTAATATCTCCAAACTTAAAAAAAATGTCACTAGATACTAAAAAGAAGTCAGTTGGATATAGATAGCAAATGGCTAAAAGTTAAGAAAATAAATGGCTACAAATCAACAGCTGACAAAAGTTAGGATGAAATTACTACAAGTGAATAACTGACAAAAAATTAAGAAATCATGTGGTCATAAATAAGCATTAAGTGGCTAGAAATCAACCACTGAACACAAAAGTAATCAGATGGCTGAAATAGGTTCATAAGTGACCAAAAGGTCAAGAATTAAATGGCTGGATATACAGTTTACAAATAGATAGTAAAGTTAACTTACTGAGACAGGTCTGCCTATGGTCATGGGTCAAAGACCATGTCATCACATTTGGTATCAAATTGTAGATTATAATAAAAATTTTGATATTATACATTACTTAATTTTTAATTTAAAAGTAAATATTTAAAAAATTCCTAAATATCTATTTTTGTGTGTCACACGGTATATTGAATGTAGCATTAGTTCAGATTAGATGTTTGTGATGTCAAAGAATTAGAAACTCAAATTACCAATATTGACAAGATATAATATACAATAAGAACCTCCTATTTTTCTATTTGCTGAGATATCACTACATTTATTGAATCAAACACAATGGCCCTGCCCACCTCTTCCATTTTTGGAAATTCTTATGTACAACTACTTCTGTTTATGACGTATGAATAACCAATCAAATGCTCAGAATGTCTACCACAATGTTTTCTGAACCTCTGCAAAGTACTTACAAGGGAAACCCTTTCCCTTCCATGGTAGATTACAAGCAGTAAGGTAAGACATTATTGAGCTCAAAAAAATCATAAGCCTGATAAATTATGTAAGAATTCTGTGGTATTGATATAGTCATTTATTTTTTGTTATTTCAAGATTACATATCATTTTGGGACAACATGGGACCTATTGGTCCATCTCGGCTGTTCCATCCTCTACACTAAATTAAAATGATTAAAAAAATAATAATAAATAAATAATTGATATATATATATGACCTTAAAAAAAGATTTTGTTTTACATTGTCCACATGTGAAATCTGATAAGGCTTAGCAAATTACAGCAAGCAGCAAATGAGTACAAAGTTTGTAACTTGAAGAGATAATATGTTTTCTATACTTCTTTATTTACTGTTCTATGTTTTAAGAAAAATAACTGAAATTTAAGAACTTATTTGTAAATAGTAATAACTTATATATCTATATAATGTATTATAACTAAAATGTGACTGTATTTTCCAAAATACTGGTCCATTAGAACACAGCCAAGACAGGTCACTTTGTAAAGGTCAGTTTTATATTATTGGATACAGTAACATGAATGCACATGCACCTCATCATTCAACTTCTGTAATGTTAGTCAGACACTGCTAAATGGTCAATAAAATAATAAATGTTTATATATGTATAACATTATAAAATGTAAGCTATTTAGGCTAAACATTTGTGGTTTTTTGTTATAACTTGTTGTAATTCTAGAATGAGAAAAAGATTAATTTATATCTATTTCCTATTTTTTATGGTGGTTACGAGGTTGGTCGAATCGACCAAACCCATACAGAGATACAGTAGTGAAAACAACAGATTAAATATAAAGCTTTTTCTAAAAAAAATGTTTGATAATTATCTGGAGGTTATAAAGATTTTACATGTGAAAGTTAAAAATTTTCTTAAATTAAAATTACCTTGCATGTTGGATAGTCAATATTCAAAAAGAAAAATCCATGAGCAAATCATTACTTAAAAAATCTTAAAAAGTAATAAAGGAATCTGATATCTTGTGTACAAAAGCCTTGTAATGCCTACTGATAAACTGCAAAGTTTTGTGAAGATACGCTTACTGTATTAAAAGTTCTAGCATGAAAACTATAACAAGCATAAAATGGTTATGAAGTCGGCCCTTGGGACTGAGCCCATTGTGAGAGATTTAAAGGGTAATCATATAATTCATTATTAGTTGCTATGTTAGTCATACACCCATGTAAACTTCATTTTAATCAAAATAATTCAGGTTATTTTGTTCTGAAATTTAACTTACTTCTATACAGGTAAGTGAAATTTACTCACAGTGACGTTTTATAGGGTTTAGGAACTACTGACCCAGATTATACAGAGACACTATTTTTCACCACAGAACACTTTGAAGAAATATTCTGCCTAACAATAACAAACAAAAAAATAGGCTCCTATTGTCTACCTGATTGGCTATCCTTAGTCGACTGACTGTCCTTCTATAGTAGCTGAAGTCATTTTGTATTGCTGGGTTAGTCATCTGTAATAGAACAAGTACAGATGTCATGGACAATTTCATGACTGACAGTTTAATAGTGTAATCAAAGATCACGTTATACTATGATTGACTTCCAGTGCTGGGGTTCTGCTTTTACGATCATCATCCATATAAATGTAAACAAAGACTAGCTCTTCCTTTGTTTTGACTACATGGACTCAAGTTGTCTTTGTGTAGTTTTAAATACAGAAAAATATATTAATATTAAACAAAAACTAAGTTTATTACTTGCAAGTTTTCAGGCCTTCTGCCAGCCTTCCACAAACAGCTACACACTAAATTAAGCAAAGTTTTCGAGACTTGTATTCTACTTCCTAAGCTTTAAAGCTATATTAAGATACAATCTAATAATCTAGAAATAAAAAAAATTACAAATACAAAAATAAATAAAGTAATAAACAACTTTTACGTAACATTTATTTAACAAACTTTGGCTTAATACTATATCAAAGCTGTACCCACAATATTAAAATCATTAATATCATTGTATTAATAACATTATAAGGGAAGACTGCAATAGCTGACTGTAAAAGTAATAGGTTGTTATATTTTTTCTTTTATTCTGCATTCAATGTTATGTTATTCAGTTTTGTTATTTAACAGTTAGGTTCTTGGTGTCAGTCAGTTCAATTTGTTCAATGTTATGTTAATGTCTAGGTACTTAATGTTATTCTTCTCCCTGATGTGTTCAGTGTTTGTCTAGGTACATAATGTTATTGTTCTTTCTGATGTGTTCAGTGTTTGTCTAGGTACTTAATGTTATTCACCTTTCTGATGTGTTCAGTGTTTGTCTAGGTATTTAATGTTATTCTTCTTTCTGATATGTTCAGTGTTTGTCTAGGTATTTATTGTTATTCTTCTTTCTGATATGTCCAGTGTTTGTCTAGGTATTTAATGTTATTCTTCTTTCTGATGTGTTCAGTGTCTGTCTGGGTATTTAATGTTATTCTTTTCTACAATGTATCTAGTATTTGTTAATGTCTAACATCTTGATGTTATTCCTTTCTATAATGTGTCCAGTTTTTTTTATGTCTAAAGTTTTGGTATTATTTTTCTATGTGGTGTGCCCAATGTTTGTTAATGTCTAGGTCTTGGTGTTAATTTTCTATATGATGCATACACTGTTTGTTTATGTCTAGATTCTTGGTATTATTTTTCTATATGATGTGTCCCATGTTTGTTAATGTCTAGGTTCTTGGTGTTAATTTTCTATGTGATGTGTCCCATGTTTGTTAATGTCTAGGTTCTTGGTGTTAATTTTCTAAATGATGCGTACACTGTTTGTTTATATCTAGGTTCTTGGTGTTATTTTTCTATATGATTTGTCCCATGTTTGTTAATGTCTAGGTTCTTGGTGTTATTTTTCTATGTTACATGTCCACTACTTGTTAATGTGTAAAGTTTTGGTGTTATTCCTTTCTAAGATGTTTGGTGTTTATTGATGTCTAGGTTCTTGGTGTTTCTTCTTTACATAATGTGATCCAATTTTATGAAGATCTAATCAAAAGATAAAAACTTAGTGACTTCAAGTTAATAACCTTCCCCTAATAAACCTCTATAATAAAACCAAAATACTTACATCATGGAAAACTAAAGAAATGATACTAAAAAAGGTTAAAACAGTTAAACACACAATACAACATGAGAATACAAAAACAAGGTAATATACATGAAATACTAAAACTAAATAATAATGTACAAATTCATAAGAATAATAAAATAAACCATAACATACAACATTATGTTAAGACTACATACAGAGAACACAAGGTAATAAACGAATATGTTAAATTCAATCTATTAATCGGATGTCCTGTTCTGAGTTTTCCCTTCAAGTTGTAAGGTATGGGTTAATGGTTCTTTGTTTATAAGTTTGAACTTATTGTGGTCGTTAAGGATGTCAAGCATTTTCTTAACATAGTCAGCTTTGTTGAGGATAACAACTCAGTTTCCTTTGTCCGGTCAGGTGATGGTAATATTTTTGTTTCAGGAGAGTTCTTTGATAGCTGTCAGTTCTTCAGATTTCAGGGAATCCTTGTACCAGAATATAAAACCTTTACTATTTTTACCAAGAATACTTCTGAACAAGCACAAGAACTATTTACTACCAAGCTAAAAACTTAGATCTCTATAACACATGCAGGAAATCCTCAAATATGAAATCTGAAGAACTAGCAGCTATCAAAGAACAATACAGAAACAGTACATCCAATAACTCTCAACAGCCAAACATGCTATTGCACTTCTTATAAAAGAAACATTATACATAAAAACTCTTTTTCTGACCCTAAATAATACACAGTCTTCATTGATTTAAACTTATTTTAACTATTTCATTTGTGCCACATTTTTCATTTTCTCGTGTTATATTTGTATATTCAAATTTTTTACTTCTTACGTATATCATATTTCTGTTGTAATAACAAATATTGTTTGTTTATTTTGTACCTCTAGATCACTGATGATGGAATTATGATGATTCCAAAACATTTAATAAATGCTTCTTATTATCACATTTGTGTTTTGCTTTATCATTAGGTATATCACGTTCGTGTTTTGCTATATCATTAGGTATATCACGTTCGTGTTTTGCTTTATCAATAGATATATCACGTTCGTGTTTTGCTTTATCATTAGGTATATCACGTTCGTGTTTTGCTTTATCATTAGGTATATCACTTTCGTGTTTTGCTTTATCATTAGGTATATCACATTTGTGTTTTGCTTCATTCTTGACACGATTGCACTCTAACTTGTCAGAGTCGTCATACTGAGTGAATCCAAAGACATGTCTTAAGTACAAATACTTTTGTAACACATCTGATTTTTTGTATCCAAAAGACTTATACATTTTACTAAAAGAGTGTCACGTTTTGTGTTGTAAACTTGTATTATAGTCAACACTATACATTCTGCTGCTACTAATAATGGTTTACTGAACTGATTTTAAATATTGGATAACACAATGTGACACCACTACTTCTAAAACTATTTATTTCTTGCTAACAGCCAGATAAAAATCAGAGAAATGTCAGATTCTACTTACTTTTAAGTCATCAAATTCTAACACAAAATCCAAGATTTCAGCAAATTGTTTGACTAAGGCTTGTTGAGTCTCTAAGTGCTGCATTGGAGTCATTGGACCAGAACACAAATCCCACAGGATATGAGGAACAACTTGCTCTAAAGGTATTTGCAAGATAAGACAATGTTGTTAAATAAAGGCTTAAGTAAAGCTTGTAATCGGCATTTTTGTTCAACCTTAAAACTCAACCTGGGAAATAAAAGTTCCCTTTATTATAAACTTTTGATTTTAAACAAAAACTACTACTTAATCAGTTTAAACGTATAAAAATCAACTTTATTCCAAAAATTCACAATGCATATATAAATTTTTGAATGAAGTTTGTAATCAAACTATCCTTAACCTACTTATTAAGCTTAATCAGTTGGGTATTGTAAATTTGATCATAATTATTCATAATAATAGCAACTATGCAAGGAATTAGTTTTCAGTTACCAACATTTTGGTGATTGTATGATTCACCATCACCAAGACAATGACAACGATGGTTATTACAAAATGCAAGGTTTGAATCCTGTGAAAACATTGTTCTGTTGTTCTTAGTTGCATAGAAACCTTATTTCTAACACTATCAAATACAAGTCGAGTCTCCTACATGAAAAAGAGAAATGTTTATAGTTGGGCTCAGGTCGAGGGTGCAAAAGTTGTCAATCAAGTGTCACATCTTCACACGAACCAAGAGACGTTTATCAAAACTTTGTTTTTAGTGAAACAGATAATAAAACAGTAGTAAGTTAAGTGCAAATATCAATAGTAGGAAGTAACATGAATGATTGAGAGCAAATATTCTAGAGGCTGAAATTTAAGTAAAGAGATTATGTATAACACATAACTTTACACATCCTGACTAAAGATAAGATTATGTATAACACCTATCTTTACACATCCTGACTAATAATGAGATTATGTATAACACCTATCTTTACACATCCTGACTAATAATGAGATTATGTATAACACCTATCTTTACATATCCTGAATAATGATAAGACTATGTATAACACCTAACTTTACACATCCTGACTAATAATGAGATTATGTATAACGCCTAGCTTTACACATCCTGACTAATAATGAGATTATGTATAACACCTAGCTTTACACATCCTGACTAAAGATAAGATTATAGATAACACTTAACTTTACACATCCTGACTGAAGATAAGATTATAGATAACACCTAACTTTACATATTCTGACTAATAATGAGATTATTATGCCTAACCTAACATACATAATTTAGTTCACTACATTTCATCTATTTTCTTAAACAGTTTCCCTACCTAATTAAATCAAGCAAAAATTAACATCCAAGATTTAACACGAAATGTTATACATGCATATTTAACAAGAAGAAGTAAAAATTAACATCCAAGATTTAACATGAAATGTTATACATGCATATTTAACAAGAAGAAGTAAAAATTAACATCCAAGATTTAACATGAAATGTTATACACGCATATTTAACAAGAAGAAGTAAAAATTCCATTGAAAGAATTTACAAGGTCTGTGGTAATTACCTAATTTCTTGGAGAATTCATAGAATTCTCTGAGCTTGGTGACCAGAGGTATAACAACTTCCCAAGCTGCACTCTGGGACTGCTTATTCTGAGGGTTCCCAATTGCCTGTTGAAAAATTAAAACATAAATTTGATAGAAATTTCTTTGTGTCATATGTATGTTGCCCAACATATGTATGCTGCCCAACAATTCACAAATAAGTCAATTAATTCAAAAAGTACATACATTATCACACTAGGAGCTATACTACTTTATTATAAATTATTAACAACCATTTATACACACACACTAGAAGCTGAAACATCATTTCTTTCAACAGGCAGTTGCAGTTTATTAAAGTTCTGAAACCAACCGTGACTAAAGTTATACTGAAATAACATTGTTTCACCAGTTGTGTACCTCACTGTATACAATATTTTCATCCATAAGCCCAACAATGTCTTATAAGGTTCAGGTAGATTTATGTTAGTCCTAAATCCATACACTAAGCTACCAATGTAAAACAATCTCTACAATAAAAGCATAATAACATAAAAATATTCTAAAATAATAAATCCAGATATATTAGACACGTTAACAAAATTAACACTAAAGAAAAAACAGAGTTTAAATCACTTGAAACACACAAACACGATATTTTAACTTCAAGTATTGTTATGGGTTTAATGCTCATTAAACAATGTAACATAAATACAACTGTGTATAAGCAAATATTTCCACAATCCTCCCTAAAAACAACTTGTGACCAATGTAAACCCATTAAATGGATCCAACAGTGTAACTTTAGGACATCTCAGATAAATTGTTACTATATGTCATTGTAGGTTGGGGAATCAAGTATACAACAGTATAGCCAAAAACTAATGTTTATGAAGATGTGAAATAAGAAACTGAATGACTGCCTGAACCATTCAATAAATAGTTACAATACTGGTACTATAAATAAAATATAACAATGTGAAATGTAATACAAAACAAAGCAGTTTATTAAACAAACTATGTGGTGTGTCTAAAATAGTTAATCTGACTAACTAACTCCTGTTATCTAAAACGTATGGAACAGAAAAGAGGAAGTAACAGATAAAGGTAAATATTGTGTAATATCTGAAAAGTAAACGAGATAAGATTAAAGAAAGTTCGATAATAATAATAATAATCTCTCTAAAAAAATATGGCTTAATGATGTAAGTACTCCTTGTAAAAAGCATTTTAATGTTACAAACAAAAGATATTTTTCTATATCCTAAAGACTTCATATTTCTGTCCACAATTGAGATGACAACTCACCACTTTTATTTCATTTCCTGCTCCTTTATAAATCCTGAGGTCAGCTAAAATTTCTCTTGAATGCTTTAGAACTTCTTGTACAATATGATAGGTTGCCATTTCAGATTGTGAAGGTTTTGCATCTACAGCATTCAAAATATTATTAAAGTTACAGAAAAATTTTCTCAGAGACTCCACACACATGCCCAATACTACTGTAATAATTAATGTTTTATTACAGTTTCAAAAAATACATCTGAGAATAATTACATCTTTAGATATAAAATAGTTTTTATTCCACTTAACTGTTGAACCAAACCATAATTTATAAATCATTTTATTTTTTAACTTAGAAGCTGGGCTTCACCTACTCACAACATTAATACACATCAAAGTTTAACCAAATTTCCAATGCATAGCTTGCATGCAACATAAATGCTTCTAGTTAATTCAAATGCTGTATATCTCATGTTTGGAACACTGAAGTGTGAAGCAGTTGAAAATAATTTGTATCAGGTACTATTTAAGATAACGGTTGAAGCTGTTACTCCATGCAGAAATGAACTGTAATTTAAATAAAAATGTCATCAGCCAGACAGTGTCAAAATCCAACAAAAGTAGCCACTAACCACTGCTGAAGACACAAGAAAGCACGAACAAGGAGAGGTGTATGAACCTACCTTTTAGATAAAATTTTTCATGCAACCTCTCCTAATACAGTCAGTCACCATTCTGATTTCAATACAGTTAAAAATATCCAAGAGAATTTGAAGACAAACTATTTCTCAAAAACAAAATTTAAGTCACTAGCATTATTTTCATGAAGTTAAATCTTCACTATAATACTGCCAAGAAACTACACATATATAAGGCCTGTCTCATAACAATTATGAAATAACTGGTCTATTTGCATAAAATAAAACTATATGATATACTGCCAAGTGTATATACTATAATCTTTTTTAGGCTTACACCCACAGTATATAACCCTTTCTTTCAAAGTCCAACTATGTACACTATTTACTATAAATGACCATAATAAAAATACATTCATAACTATACATAAGTATTTACTTTTACACAGAATTCCAATTACCATTACTTATTTTCAAAGTCCAACCATACAAACTATAACTCTTTATTAAAACATTCATAGTCACAGAATATCCACCATCATTCTTACTTTCAAAGTCCACAAATACATCATATTTGGGTGTTTCATCCCTGTACAACAACTTAAGTAAATTTCCCATGTCCACTCTTTCACAATTGGGTGTATTATCTGAAAGAAATTCAAGAAATTTGAACAGAATCATTAACAGTGATTTTCACATTGAGTTAAAGAGATCACAGAGTTATTTAACAAAATTTTTAATACCTATATGTGAAAAGAATTGTTGATAAAAATGTCATGTCAAAACATGTATTATACTAAAGAAGTTTCATTAACTTGTTTTATTATATGTATAATTTAATCATTATGGACAGTTATTGTTTTTATTCAAAATGTTTTATGGTTTATTATCTACATATGGCAGTGTCAATCATTAATTCTGCTGTGATCTACTACCAAGTTAATTTATATTATTTATTCATTCAGGAGCCATTAATCATTAATTCTGCTGTGATCTAATCCCAAGTTAATTTATGTAATTTATTCATTCAGGAGCCATTAATCATTAATTCTGCTGTACTCTACTACCAAGTTAATTTATGTAATTTATTCATTCAGGAGCCATCAATCATTAATTCTGCTGTGATCTACTACCAAGTTAATTTAAGTAATTCTATTCATTCAGGAGCCATTAATCATTAATTCTGCTGTGATCTACTACCAAGTTAATTCATGTAATTCTGTTCATTCAGGAGCCATCAATCATTAATTCTGCTGTGATCTACTACCAAGTTAATTCATGTAATTCTGTTCATTCAGGAGCCATTAATCATTAATTCTGCTGTGATCTAATCCCAAGTTAATTTATGTAATTCTATTCATTCAAGAGTCCTTCAGCATATCTAGTATTTGCCTTTAAAACAATTATATAGAGAAAAGAGGTTTGAAATCAAATTATATTTAGATTTTTGATATCATAAAATTGGTCTCAGCAATATATAAATACTGTAATTTATGCCTAAGACCTATATTTAAAAAGAAAAAAATTATATTAGAAACAAATATAGAAAAACTAAATATTTCAAATTTTCATTTATTCACATATATAAAACCTTTCTTAGAGCAAAACTGTACTTAAAAATGTTAGATTGTCCCTCATAATCATCTAATGTAATATGTTTAAAAAAGACATCATATTGAAATGTCAGGTTGTCCCTAACATCATACAGTGTAATAAGTTTTAAAACATCGCTTTCAAATGTCAGATTATCTGTAACATCATTTAGTGTAATACATTTTAAAAGAACATCATTTTTAAATGTCACATTGTTCCCAAGACCATATAATGCATTAAGTTTCATTTTAATTGTCAATCACTACTTGTTTTGCTTGGATGTATTTCTAAGATGCAATCAGCTGCCCAAACAGTACATATCAGATTTATAAAATAGACAGTTATATATTAACTGTTTCTCTTCCTGAATAGTGGCCTTAATAGTATGGAAGAAACACAATTTCATTTATCTTAAGTTTACTCACATAACTTCCATGGCTTACTTCACTTCAGCTATTTTTTTATTAATTATAGCACATTTACCTGTCACAGAAATTATATATATACATCTTAAAAATACTCCAACATTTTAAAACCATTTCTTCATAAACTTACAACTTATTTTTTAGATACTATTTATCCTCTGTTATTTAACAGGGGCAGATATCTTTAGCAAACAAAAGCACTATGTTTAAAATGTCTGAGGTTTCAAAAAAGAAAGTTTTGTTTGCAACAAGTGTCTTTATTGAAAACAACTTTTAATAGTTTCATTCATTTCATAAAATTCATCTGCAAGTTACATTTAGCAATATATTAAAAGTTATAAGCAACCTACCAGATCTCTAGTTAAAACAATGTTAAAAAAACTCATAAATTTGTGTTTCCCAAAATGAGCATCACTACATATTATACATAGTATTTCATTTAATGAGACAAGCACAAACTTGGAAATACATGTATGTTTTTAATGTAGGCAAATAGTAAAATACTTAGAAAAAATTATTACTGCAGACAGTAATTCATGCAATATTTCCTAAGTGCATATACAGTACAGCACTCCTTGAGCTACGAGAACAGTCATCTTAATAGGTTGATTAAATTTGAAGGTTACAACCAGAATTTAAAATGTAGATCAATAAAAGACTCTTTCAAGTAGTAAGCCACACTGAGATGATAACAAAGAGAAAGCATATGTCAAGCAGTTTCAGAGTAGCAAAAAGTACAAAACCTTTGGTCACACACCCCAACACTTCCAGAAATTTGAAGGGCTGGGTGAGGGTACAACAATAGCAGTGGTGTAGTGATTTACAGTAATCCAATAAACACACTTGTAAAATAATTGATACATCATTGTCTGTGACCCATTGGTGTGTCATGCCGTCCATAAAGGTAAGTTGTGACCCACTGATGGAGCACATGGCAGCAAACGTGTTAAGTAAGCAACATTCATTTCATTGTTCTCACTACCCTAAGATATTACACCCAGATATTTTCATTGCTAGAAGTACAATTAATAGCAGCTATACACTATATTTCATTCAGATATTTCAAATGAAATAAATTGAACATAAGGGGTGTGAACAGAGAATCAACAAAATTGTTTAACAATAACTTAGTTAGTTTACAGAATATTAATACAAGCCCAAACACGATGGACTAACAATGAACTAGTAAAATGTTCAAATGATCTAATTGTTGGACAAGATTTATAGCTAATAGATTTTAACCATTGTTCACTGCATTGGGGACACATAACATATTTGCAAAACTGTGCATACAGTTTGTTAAAACTTATTCTAGAAATAGACCTTTTGAAAACTCCATTAACGTGGGAAAAAATTAAATATGTTGTACAAATCATTGATTTTCATCAAACAACTGATTGAAACTAGATTACCAACATCACATTATGAAAGTTGAGACAATTTTGAAATATATTATACTATATAGTATATAGCCACTTGGACTGGGTAACTATGTCTCTTCTTACCTTGTTACAAGTTGCAAAGGAGTTATACTTTTAGCTTAGCTTCCATAACAACTTTCCGGACAGTCATCAACTTGTGAAATGCTTTGCCTGGTATAAAACTCAGTGATAAAATACTAAGTTGAGATGTTAACACTAAAAGTATTGATTCAAACTCTAAATCTAATAAAAACTTGTTGGATAAGGAAGAGAAAAAGTATATTTTAATTCAAAAAAGATATTCATAAGCTTAAAATGAGTAGATGCCTTGTTTTTACTTGTGTTTCCTACAAAAGACCAGATAGTAAAATACTAAATAAACATAAAGTCTAAAGAATATATATGACGTAAAGGCCTAATAACGTGATATAAAGTCCAAAAAATTAAGCCTTAGGCCTATCACACTCATAGTATCACCATCAACCACCAGGTTATGGTAATATATAACCCGAGTATATAATACTAACAGCAACACTAATGCCAAATATCACATTTAGCTCGAAGATCTCCACCAATTTATCAATATCATACAATTATTGTTAATAATTAAAGTGATTACTAAAATTAGCACAGTTGAAAATTTATATTATGAACTTTAATTAAACCCTAAACTTACCGAACAGTTATATCATTCTTGTTGTGTTACGTAACAGTTTATGTTTTCTTTTTAGTTATGATTTTATGTATCGTTTATGTATTTTTCTTTCTATCATTTGGTTTAGCTATATTTTATTTGCCACAGATGTTAGTTTACCTGGTTCCTAGTTTATCTATGTAAATAACACACTTGCGTTTGTCTGTCCGGAACTTTTCTCGCAAGATTGTAGAAATGATGTGTTACAATTGTACGATACATACACTTTTTGGGCCCCTCAGTGGCACAGCGGCATGTCTGCAGACTTACAATGTTAGAAACCGGGTTTCGATACCGTGGTGGGCAGAACACAGATAGTTCATTGGGTTGGTTTGTACTTAATTACAGATAAGCAAACATACAATTGGATGATATATTTTGTATAGGTTTCTGAAACCTGGAGAAGTTTGGAGAATGGTGAGAAATCTAAAGTCTTGTACTAATAGACAGTTTATAAAATACAGCTGTTACTATAAAAAGTACTAAATTAATACGGGATTTTGCTTGAATAGCCCATATTAGCCGTTCTCAATCTCTCTTATTTTTTTATCATGGACCCGGACTTTCACGAACCAAAGACAATCTTGTGGAGCCCCATACTCTGAAAGTTTATTTGAGGAAGCGGAACTGACATGAATAAGTATATATATATGTTACATCCAAAACCCGAAATATGGCCATTGTGAACAATGGCCAGGCGTTTTGACCATTGTCCGAAATAATTAGAAAAATCAAGAATTTCGAGTTTTGACCAAGTATTATTACTAATGACCAGCCTCTGTTGGCCGAAGTACGAAATGACTCAATGAGGCTATTGTATAAAATTTAACTCCAGGTTAAGTAGTTAACACACAGGATAACCTACAAAAGTTGTAATATTTTCAAAACGAGACCCAAAACTCGAACGCTTTCGAATAGTTGATTCTTCTTCTTCTTGAGGAGAATAAAGGGTTGTGTTTAATAAGTGTGATGAAATATATAGGCTCGGATGAAGATGTCACGTAACCTGGATGTTCAATATGAGTTGGCCTTGACAGCTAGCCAATCATAACATAGAGTCGTTTGTGTCAGGTTTAGCTTTGTGCCAAAGGGGTATGTCAAGTTCATAAAAGACTTATGTGGGATAATACTTATAAGAATTGTTAACTAATTTCTATAA